TATATATATTTATATTGTGATGTTTGGGGAATTAGCTGGACCGCAGGACACAGGCTTTATCAGACAAACTGCATTTTATTTTCCACAGCAGCAACAATAAACAGTCATTCCCTTCAGTACAGCAAAACAACTTAAAAGTATAGAAATAATAAACTGTACCGTTTGCTTACTTCAGCACAGGAAAGAATAACAGCCTCACCGGCTTGGAGGGTTTCAGTCCACAAGGTTATCACACTCTAAGGTCTCGTTCACACCTAGGCGTATTGCATATGCGCGACCGTCGCGCGTTTTTTTACCGCGATTTGCAGTAAAAAAGTTGTGCGCCCGTCGCACGTTTCCGAAGGCTACTTGGCTGTATCCCAATGGAAACGCGCAACAAAACGGCCCAAAGTAGTACCTGTACCTTTTCAGGCGTGGGGCGTTTTGTAGCGCGTTAGGGACGGGCGGAAATACGCCAAGGTGGGAACGAGACCATTGACTACAATGGGATTTATATTTTTGAGCGTTTTGTAGAGCGTTCGTCGAGCGTAGAACGCGCTACAAAACTTTCAGGTGTGAACGAGGGCTTAACTTCAGAGTTTCTCTCTCAGCCCACAGGCTCCCAGTAAAGGTCGGCTGCTTCACAGCACCAGTACTTCCATCTGCTCCACAGCCTTGTCTGCAAACATTAATCAGGGCTTCTCTCTCCCTCTCTCCCCTCTCTGTCTCCCCCCTATCCTTTTGAACACACTTCCTGCAGCAGGTGTTAACCCATTTCTGTCCCTTAAAGGGACCACAACCCGAACAAAGGGAAATATACACCTCTCCCAGGAAAAGGAGGGCGGGACAGCAGCGGAAGTACGGGGGGCAGCGGAGGAATGCAGCGGTCTGTGTCCCCGCTGCCTCCGCCAACACAGGCGGACGACGAGCAGTCAAGTCCCCGCCCCCCACATACACACGCAGATATGCGTCGGGTGCGCCTACGTGCGAAAACGACGATTGTGCCTATTGTGCCGCACATGTTACATATCGCCGCAAACGGCAGAGTGAGAGCAATAATTTTAGAGCCATTAATCACTGATAACACTAAACTGATGAGCAGTAAAAGCATTTTAACCGTCGCCTGTGGGCGTTTTTTGCGATTTTATGGGCACGAGCAATTTTAAGGCTTGATATGTTTGGTGTCTATTTACCCGACGTGACCCTGACTTTTATGTTTTACTAAAAATATGGGTAAGAATAAATGTTTTACGGAAACTTTTTTTTTTACATTTATGGTACTTTTTTCATTATATAGTAAAAAATAAAATAACCCCCCGTGGGGTCACAAAAGAAAGCTCTACCTGTTCCCAAAAAATGTTAACATAAATTGCAAGGCTATAGTCCGGTCATGCTGACTGGTGAAATTTTTGACTGACTGGTAAGACACCGTCAAATTTTTCAAGCCCTGTATATATAATATTTTAATGAACTGCTAGTGACAGGACTATTTTGCACTGGTCAAACAGAGACCAAGCTAAATAGTAAGACCATGAACAGTCCGAGCCTAACTGGAACTTGACAGCTCGATTAGCCAGCTTCCCGAAACCCTAAGAGCTTGTGTATGTAGCAATCACCCCCTCAGGAGCTGCTGGATATAACTGGTCCTCCCACCCTTTCTACCATTATTTTAGCCTATAGCTACACGCAAACACTCACTGACCCACCAGTGGCACCCAAATGACAGACATCCACTCCAACAAATGCTGATTTTGATTGGCTTAGTGTCCAGGAAAGAGGCACAAAGGTACAGGATACCAAAAAATACCAGTAAAAATCCATCCCCTCAGTAGTATCTTGTATTATTTTTGCCTCTGCCACAGGCTAATATAGAATTGGGTAGGATATAAGGACAGCAACATTGAACCTTTAAGTTGAAACTGGCAGTAGACTGTAGTTTTCTGAAGGTGCTTCCCCTTAGTAATCACTTTCCTGTAATTCCAGACCTTAACCAAGGCAAATTTCCTTGGTCCTTTGTTCTGGAACGGTGCCGTCCCCAGACAGCAGGCCTGGGAGGCAAAGGAGCTCTAGATTCTTCTCTGATGGGATTACTCACACACATCCTCTTCAGGCAAAGCCAGGGGGACGTGAATGTCTTTGCAAATATTAATCCCCAGTGATGGCGAACCTTTTTGAACCCAAGTACCCAAACCGGATCACTAAACCAACTTACACTATATTGCCAAAAATATTGGGGCGCCTGCTTTTACATGCACATGAACTTTAATGGCATCCCAGTCTTAGTCCGTAGGGTTGAATATTAAGTTGGCCCACCCTTTGCAGCTATAACAGCTTCATCTCTTCTGGGATGGCTGTCCACAAGGTTTAGGAGTGTGTCTATGGGAATGTTTTGACCATTCTTCCAGAAGCACATTTGTGAGGTCAGGTACTGATGTTGGACGAGAAGGCCTTGCTCGCAGTCTCCGTTCTAATTCATCCCAAAGGTGTTCTATCCAGTTGAGGTCAGGACTCTGTGCAGGCCAGTCAAGTTCCTCCACCCCAAACTCGCTCATCTAGGTCTTTATGGACCTTGCTTTGTGTACTGGTGCGCAGCCATGTTGGAATAAGAAGGGTCCATCCCCAAACTGTTCCCACAAAGTTGGGACCATGACATTGTCCAAAATGTCTTGGTATGCTGATGCCTTAAGAGTTCCCTTCACTGGAACTAAGGGGCCAAGCCCAACCCCTGAAAAACAACCCCACACCATAATCCCCCCTCCACCAAACTTTACACTTTGCACAATGCAGTCAGGCAAGTACCCTTCTCCTGGCAACCGCCAAACCCAGACACGTCCATCGGATTGCCAGACAGAGAAGCGTGATTGGTCACTCCAGAGAACACGTCTCCACTTCTCTAGAGTCCAGTGGCGGCGTGCTTTACACCACTGCATCCGACGCTTTGCATTGCACATGGTGATGAAAGGCTTGGATGCAGCTGATCGTCCATGGAAACCCATTCCATGAAGCTCTCTACGCACTGTTGTTGTGCCAATCTGAAGGCCACACGAACTTTGGAGGTTTGTAGCTATTGACTCTTCCGACAGTTGGTGACTTCTGCACACTGTGCGCTTCAGCATGCGCTGATCCTGCTCTGTGATTTTACATGGCCTACCACTTCGTGGCTTCCACTTGGTTATAATACCACTAACAGTTGACCGTGGAATATAAGGTGCTTCCCCTTAGTAATCACTTTCCTGTAATTCCAGACCTTAACCAAGGCAAATTTCCTTGGTCCTTTGTTCTGGAACGGTGCCGTCCCCAGACAGCAGGCCTGGGAGGCAAAGGAGCTCTAGATTCTTCTCTGATGGGATTACTCACACACATCCTCTTCAGGCAAAGCCAGGGGGACGTGAATGTCTTTGCAAATATTAATCCCCAGTGATGGCGAACCTTTTTGAACCCAAGTACCCAAACCGGATCACTAAACCAACTTACACTATATTGCCAAAAATATTGGGGCGCCTGCTTTTACATGCACATGAACTTTAATGGCATCCCAGTCTTAGTCCGTAGGGTTGAATATTAAGTTGGCCCACCCTTTGCAGCTATAACAGCTTCATCTCTTCTGGGATGGCTGTCCACAAGGTTTAGGAGTGTGTCTATGGGAATGTTTTGACCATTCTTCCAGAAGCACATTTGTGAGGTCAGGTACTGATGTTGGACGAGAAGGCCTTGCTCGCAGTCTCCGTTCTAATTCATCCCAAAGGTGTTCTATCCAGTTGAGGTCAGGACTCTGTGCAGGCCAGTCAAGTTCCTCCACCCCAAACTCGCTCATCTAGGTCTTTATGGACCTTGCTTTGTGTACTGGTGCGCAGCCATGTTGGAATAAGAAGGGTCCATCCCCAAACTGTTCCCACAAAGTTGGGACCATGACATTGTCCAAAATGTCTTGGTATGCTGATGCCTTAAGAGTTCCCTTCACTGGAACTAAGGGGCCAAGCCCAACCCCTGAAAAACAACCCCACACCATAATCCCCCCTCCACCAAACTTTACACTTTGCACAATGCAGTCAGGCAAGTACCCAACCGCCAAACCCAGACACGTCCATCAGATTGCCAGACAGAGAAGCGTGATTCGTCACTTCAGAGAACACGTCTCCACTCCTCTAGAGTCCAGTGGCGGCGTGCTTTACACCACTGCATCCGACGCTTTGCATTGCACATGGTGATGAAAGGCTTGGATGCAGCTGATCGTCCATGGAAACCCATTCCATGAAGCTCTCTACGCACTGTTGTTGTGCCAATCTGAAGGCCACACGAACTTTGGAGGTTTGTAGCTATTGACTCTTCCGACAGTTGGTGACTTCTGCACACTGTGCGCTTCAGCATGCGCTGATCCTGCTCTGTGATTTTACATGGCCTACCACTTCGTGGCTTCCACTTGGTTATAATACCACTAACAGTTGACCGTGGAATATCTAGTAGCACGAAAATTTCACGGATGAGGCCCTGCACAGTACCACGCTTGAATTCACTGAGCTCATGAGAGCGACCCATTCTTTCACAAATGTTTGTAGAAGCAGCCTGCATGCCTAGGTGCACCCACAGACCACCCCCTGGGGACCTGCAACGCCGACACCCCCCCAAACCTACACCCCCAGCACACAGCACCACCCTAGGCCCCACCCACCGTATCCCCCCAGACCTGAAATGCCAGCACACCTGCCCCCGTCTCAGGTGGCAAGAATTGATGGGACACCCATACTTATAATACGTATCACTGCAGTATATATGCTGTATTGGATATATTAAGAAAGATATTTATAACTACATAACATAAGGCCTGTTGTAGTCCCATCAGCAACTATTTTAGATGCAAGTATTGCTTTATAGCTGTGGAATCAAGTACCTAGTGGGTTGGTTTTTCTTTCATTTTTGGATATAATCTTTGTTTAGGTTTCCTTTACACTTAACCGCTGACCTTAGCCCATCCTTAAGTGTATATGCAGCCCAAATTTGTTTTTGTTTGTTTTGTATACAGTGAGGGTGGGTTAGAACCTCCATTGGGTTTTTATTGCTATCTGGGGCTCCATCAGAGAGATTTCCTCCCAATTCCTGTCCTGCTGACAACCTTTTACAAGACAAGAAGTGAGGGAAATTTCTAACAGCCATACAGACAGAAACCAAACCTTTTTTTCAGTAAAGTAAGGGGAGCTTTGGAGAGCTGCAGTCTCTGGTTTGCCATCTGAGCATTGCTGACCTTAATTAATATCCTGCGTCATAATCAAGTGTCTGCTCAGAAACATAGACTAGGGTAGAAAATACAGCTGACGCTATAGAAGTGTCATATGAGCAGCAATAGGCTGTCATGGGAGAAGTGAGTCAGCTAGACCTACTAAGGATCCGGAAATTTGCCCCGTCAGCTCATTATAGTAATGGAATAATAGTGTCCGAGACTGCTGATATCTTATACATTATCTCAAACACTCCTTTCTGCTGACATGGAAAGGAAATGTTATCCAACACGTATTGTCACGTAATAGATAATGTAGTATACAAGTGATTAAAACAAGAGCAAGGAGCAAATGCAATCAAACCTATCAATGTAATGATCTCCTAATCGCAGCACAGAAGATGAAGTCCAACATAGGTTCAAGCTGAACTCCGGGATCAGCAAATATTGTCTAAATACAAGACATGTATTCTTACTTGAGTCTTGGTGTGCTTTGTGTATTTCTGCTAGATCTGTGCAGTAATACAGTGTAAAGCTTTGCCTCTGTGCTGGAGCTTCCTGTAATAAAGACCAGTCACTGCTGCTCTCTCTCCTTGTGTAGGGTGACTGGTCTTATATCCGCCCCCTCCTGTAGTTTTCTGCAGGCAGCCTGTAGTGGATGAAGCCTGCTGGGTCCCTCCCACAGCTCTGCTCTCTTTACAGGCTATGCATGGCACAATGATGATGTCACTGCTACTTTTACAAGGTAATAACATGGTTTTCAATGACATTTAGTGCACACAAAGTGGATTTATATCCTTTGTAGCAATTAGAGAATATATTTACATGAAATTAGTTTGCTTCGCGTTCATCTTTAAGGTAAGCACATTGTTTTCTATCATTACAACCCTGCACAGAAATCATGACAGCACACAAGGCAATGTAATGATGTCAATATGAGAGGGCAGTGTCTAGGATGATAAGGGGAACTGCACTAAGGCCTGGTTCACACTAAGCGTTTTTTAGCGCTTTTTGTGCCCAAAAAAAAGCTGAAAAAATCTGCCCGAAAAAAAATCCCATTAATTTCTATGGCCCTGTTCACAACTGTGCATTGTGCGGCAATAAGCAAAACGTCTGTCACTGGGAAAAGTACATGAGCTTTTTTTTTGGCATATTAGAGCTCGTTTTGGCCTCATAGACTCAATAGGAAACGCTTAAAAAAGCGCGTTTGCTGAGTCTTTGCGCTTTTTATCATTAACATCAATGAGCTACAACCTGCACATAAAAACGCAATTTTTGCTGCATGCGCATAAAACGCGCATAGAAACGTGCTTCAAAAACGCGTGCAAAAACGCTGTTGCCTAGTTGTGAGCCAGGCCTAAGGCGAAACCTATTACGTGAGATTTTTGTCAGTGTTTTTTACGGTTTTTAACAAGCAGACGGTGAGCAGATTGTGGCATATTGAGCAGGTTGTGGCATATTGATCAGATTGTGAGCAGATTGTGGCATATTGACCAGAGTGTGGCATATTGAGCAGACTGTGAGCAGATTGTGGCATATTGATCAGATTGTGCCATATTGATCAGATTGTGGCATATTGAGCAGACTTTGATCAGATTGTGGCATATTGAGCAGATTGTGGCATATTGAGCAGATTGTGAGCAGATTGTGGCATATTAATCAGATTGTGAGCAGATTGTGGCATATTGATCAGATTGTGGCATATTGAGCAGACTGTGACATATTGATCAGATTGTGGCATATTGAGCAGACTGTGGCATATTGAGCAGATTGTGGCATATTAAAAAGACTGTGAGCAGATTGTGGCATATTGATCAGATTGTGGCATATTAAAAAGACTGTGAGCAGATTGTGGCATATTGATCAGATTGTGGCACATTGAGCAGATTGTGGCATATTGATCAGATTGTGGCACATTGAGCAGATTGTGGCATATTGAGCAGATTGTGAGCAGATTGTGGCATATTGAGCAGATTGTGGCATGCATATTTTTCAAGAGTTTTCTATTGAGTTAATGGGAAGAATTTGCCTCAAAGTAGCTCATGTAGAATTTCGTGCGACAGGCATATTTCTGCATGCGACAAAATGCCCAGGTGTGAACAGGGGCCATAGAACTGAGTGGGATTCCTAGGGTCAAGCATTTTGTCATGCTGATTGACAAGCGACAATACGCTCAGGTGTGATCGGAGACTAAGAGGGTTATTCACTATTGAGGCGAAGGATTAAGCTGAAGCATCTGCTAATCCTTCGGCTCAATTTGGCTGCCGGAGCCTTCTGGTTTAATTGAACCAAAGGGCTGCTGTAGGGGCTATTAACAATAGCCCGTACAGGAGCTGAAGGCAGATAAACGGCTCAGCCGAGCCGAATGCATATACTTCAGCTCAGATGAGCCGAAGTTACAGCCGAAGCGAGAGAACGGTCTGCCAAAGCAGGGGCCATAGGACTGAATGGGATACATGTAAACAACTAGGCTGTGCCAGCCGTGATGTCACGGCTGGCTCCACCCAGTTGTTGTCATTCAATGACACCCCAGTATCTTCAAATGACCTAAGGACGCTGGGTTGTCATTGATTGACAACACCTGGGCGGAGCCAGCAGTGATATCACAGCTGACTCCGCCCAGTTATTTTGATTTGGCCGACCCATATGACAGGTGTCGGTCAAATCAAAACAAATGGGTGGAGCCTGTGGTGATGTCACCGCTAGCTCCGCCCATTTGTATACTGTTTGGCGCCACCTGCCATACAGGTCATTTTGCGGCATGTGTTCGGCAGGTGCAGACATCGGGCTTTTTTAAAATTTCGGCAAGTCGGCGGCGGCGTTGACAATGCTGGATGCCGTAATTACTTTGTTAGATCTATTTAACTACCTTCCGTCCATGGCCGTTTGTGAACGGCCGGACGGACGTCTGCTAGGAGCGGGAGGGCGTCTTAAGACGTCCTGCCCCTCCCCCTTCTCGTGTGCGGCACTCAGCGCGCACACGAGAGGGAAAACTGTAAGCATGTAAACAGCCAGACCTTTGTCTGCTCGTCGCCGCTGCCGGTCCGTGATCTAATGTGTCCGGTGCGGCTGGGACCGGCACGGCGGCGCTCTAACAGCAGATCAAAGGGAGATAATTACTTGATCATCCCTTTGATCTCTCTTCCTGTCCCCGAATGCAGGAAGTGATGTATATTACATCACTTCCTGCATTCAGTTTCACTCTCCGGTGCAGAACACCGCAGAGAAGCTAATGAAGCAGATCTCTGCTTCATCAGCTTCTCGGGGGGGTCCTTAGGTGACATCAGAGGTCTTGGAGACCCCTGATGTCTCCATAAAGAGGACCTGTTTGGTGAATTGGCTATTACATAGGGGATTCCTTAGTCCCCTATGTTATAGCAATAAAGTTAAGTCTAAAAAAAAATTACAGCATTAAAAAAAAATAAAGAAGCTAAAAAAAATATTCACAAATAATACAAAAAATAACACAAAAAATGTTTTAAAGTCTCCCGCCCCCCCACATACACACGCAAACATGCGTCGGGTGCGCCTATGTACAAAAACGACGATTGCGCCCATTATGCCGCACATGTTACATATCGCCGCGAACGTCGCAGTGAGAACAATAATTCTAGGGCCATCAATCACTGATGACACTAAACTGATGAGCGGTAAATACGTTTAAAGCGTCGCCTATGGCCAATTTTGGTTGCGGGAAGTTTTCTGCGATTTCGCGGGCGCGCGCAATTTTAAAGGTTGACATGTTTAGTGTCTATTTACCCGACGTGACCCCGTCTTTTATATTATACCAAAAAATTGGGGTGAAAATAAATGTTTCATAACATTTTATAGGGAAACATGTTTTTTTTCAAAATTTAGGGTACTTTTTTTGTTATATAGTAAAAAATAAAAACTCCAGTGGTGATTAAATACCACTAAAAAAAAGCTCTATCTGTCCCCGAAAAATGGTATGATATTCATTTCAGTACAGCGTTGCATGACGGAATAAACATCATTCAAAGTACCGCAGCGCTGAATACTGAAAAATGGCCTGGCCAGGAAGGTGGTGAAACACCATGGCCTTTAAGTGGTTAAAATAAAAACCTTTGTTGTGGTTTTTTTTTTTCAATTACATATTTATCAATGGGGGTATCCTGTTGCAAATAAGCCTGCCCGCAGACCCCCACAACCAACGACCCAGGGCTTGTGGGGAAGAGGCCCTTGACCCCACTGGCACGTGGACATGGTGCTTTTCCCAGGGGGAACTCTATGCAATTTTTTTATTTTTTATACTGGGGTCACTCCTAACATTCCTACCAGATCTAAAGGGTCTGGTATTGTTTGAGAGCGGGACCCCACACTGTTTTTTTATTATTTTTCTTTCTTTTACATTTTTTTATTAGTGTTTTAAAAAAAAAAAATATTTTTTTTTTTTACATTTTTAATAATTTTTGTTTCTTTTGTCACATTTTTGTTATTCTGCTCGCTACCTCAGGGGTACCGAGCAGAACAACCGAGCCAAATGCCGCTCGGCAGCATTCAACTATTCTCTCACTGCCGTTCGGCCCCTATGAGACCACACTCAGGGAGTGACTGTTGAAGGTGAAAGAAAGAAAGAAGAGGTGTCAGACATGTCAGGTCATAGAAATTCTAGGAGATTATCTATAGGAATAGGATGACCAGGCAGGCCCAATGCACAAGCAGGGGGTGCAGAGCTGAGGGGGGTAGGTTGCACGGCTTCGGCCATGGACAAGTAACTTATGTGAATATTTGCAGGTTTTGTTGATAAATACATTGTAACAATACAATTACAATGCATTGTTGATAGTGTGTAATAATTGTCCTTTCATCTGCACACATCCAATCCAGCAAAGCTGTGTGAAGTTGGCACCCCCGTTTGTAAAACCTGAATAAAAGTATACCATTCGTTTGTGCTGCATTTGTGGATTTGGGCAGCAAAAGCGAACGTATGTGCCGGTTCGGTTTTGAGATATTGGACATTCAATTTAATCCAATCCCCGCCCACTATGCACGCCATGTTATTACGGTACATTTTAAAAACAAACATACTAGGGATGCACCGATACCGGTTTCTCAGTATTGAGTACGAGTACCGATATTTTTTTCAGTACTCGCCGATACCGAATATCGATACCGGAAGTCCCATTAGGGAAACCAGGTGGCGTGTAATGACTCGCCTCCTGGCTTCCTGATTAGCCGGGAAGCCAGGCGGTGTGTAAAGACTCGCCACTAGGCTTCCCAATCAGCAGGGAAGCCTTCTCCATGCTCCCTCGTCACCAGGTGACATGGAAGCATGGAGCCGGCTTTCTGGCCAATCAGGAAGCCGGGCGCCGTGTAATGACATGTTGCCCAGCTTCCTGATTGGTTGAGAAGCTGGCCAATCAGGATTGGCCAGGAATCATGCTCTGGAGCATAAAGCCGGCTTTCTGGCCAATCAGAAAGCCGGGGGCGTGTAACTACACGCCGCCTGGCTTCCTGATTGGCCAGGAAGCCCAAGTGACGAGGGAGCATGGAGACGGCTCCCCGGCCCATTAGGAAGATGGGCAGCATGTAATGACTCGCTGCCTGGCCTCCTGATACCGGTAGCTCAAGTATCGGGCTAGGCATCCGAGCATTTGACAAGTACGATTATGCGCCCAAATACTCGGCACCGATACCGATACTAGTATCGGTATTGATGCATCCCTAAAACACACCAATCGTTTGTCCTGCAAAAACAAACGTTTGTGCCATTTAGTTTAGGAGATATTGCACATTATATGATATCAAACCACACTGACTTTACACTACGTTATTAAATTCTTACTTAGTTACTACTATACTCATGTGTTCCCTGTTTGTGCGGATTTGGTGGACATTGTACCTGATGTTTTACTTAATATGTGTAGTTTTGCCTACTGAGATATTACAAATATGTTTGGCCGGGAGTCCTCAGTCTGCACCCAGTAAATTAAAATACATTATTGTGCTGGACAGAGACAATGTGTGGGTGTTTTAGGGGAAATATAGGAAACCAATAATTAACATTGCACCAGAAAGTTTCATGTCAAGGGGTTAACATTGTACCAGAGAGGCATTAAGGGGTTAACATGGAAACATTCCGGTACGGTAAGCAACCCTCAGCCCACCAGATGTTGTGGACTACATCTTTGCTAATGTTTTGCCAGCATTATGGGAGATGTAGTCCACAACATCTGGACGGCCAAAAGGTTGCCTACCCATGGCTTAAAGCGTTAATAAACCCTCAGTGTTTTTTGCATATATCCCCTGCTAGCAAGCAGTAGATGTATGCAAAAACGTGTTTTAAAAAAAAACAAAAAAAAACCCCTTTCAAACAGGTTTAAACTTACCTGTGTCTTCGCCGCACGCTCCCGCCCGAACATCTGAAGAGTCCGCAAAGGATCTTGGGGCGGGCGCATGCGCAGTTCAGATGTTCGGCCAGGAGATGAGGAGAGACACAAGGTAAATCTATGGAGCAGCGTGCACCCGCACAGACTCTGTTGGACATCAGAGAAGAGGAGGACAGAGGAGTCAGCGCTGCATTGGAGACCCGCACTAGCGCTGGAGGGACATCTGAAAACTACACTAAAGAAGAAGATGATCGGATTAAGAGGCATCATTTAAGGTAAGTCCGGGAGGAGAAAAAAAATTAGCCTTTAATGTCACTTTAAGTAATGTAACTGCAAAGTGAATAAGTAGAAAGTCACTACTTAAAACAATGGTTCTCGACCTTTTTAGGGCCGGGACCCCTTGGTAACATTTGCCAAGTTGTGGTGACCCCCATAAGTAAAATTTAAGGATGCACCTGTGTCGATACTGCACATTTGGGTGAGTACTCATACTTGCCCATATGCTCAGATATCGCAGCTGCCGGTCAGAGGGTGATTCCATGTACCTTTGCAACACTTCCAGTCAGCCTGGCTTCCTGACCAATCGGACGCTAGCAGGTGCGGACTGACCATTCGGGCACGGACCGAGGGCCCGCAGCCATCATGGGGCCCGTCACTGACCGTCCCCTCGCCGCTGCCTCTCTGTCATCTGCACCTGGTCAGCCCGCCCGCGTCAGATGCGGCTCTGTAATCGCCGGCTGCTTGCTCCTCAAGGCAGGTGACAGGTCCCGAGCGGGCTGCCCTCTACAATGCCTGATTAGCGGCCCGGATCGCATACAAGGCAATCCGGGCTAGCAACTCTTTGCTGTTTTCGGCTGAGCCGCAGCCAAATTAGTAGATGCGGCTGTGTTAAAGTGGCAGGGGCAGTGTCCCCCGCCTCCCGGGTCCAACAGACACTACTGTCGCCGCTTTAACACAGCTGCACCCACCTGCTAAAGGAGAGCACGTGTGCTGGCATGGAAGGAGCTGCCCATTAACGCGTGTGTGTGGATGAAATCCCACAGGGATCAGACTGTGTGTGATGGCTGATCCCAGAGATGTTGCTATGTATGTGTCATTCTATCTGCCCAATCTGACGTGTATTGGTTTCTGACCCGAGTTCTGCCATGTATTGGTTCTGGTCTAAAGTGTGACGTGTATTGGTTCCGGTCTGAGGTCTTCCATGCATTCTGCCATTTAGCTCACTTTCAAATTGCCTATATTGGTCTAGATTTTGAAATTCACCCACCAGTTCCCCGGCAATTCAATTGGCCCACTATTTGAAAAATAATGTGGAGAAAAAATTTCTGTGACACAAGAATGTCTATGCAGGTGGGG